TTCGGCGCTTGTGTAAATGGTGTCCGAGTACCACAGTAAGGATATATACAGCATAAAGGGCCAGATAACCTAAAAATGTTCTTCAGTGAGAGATAATTGCGAAGGCTTTATGGGGTACTTACCAGCTGGTTCCCAGATATATACATTGGTGCTGTACAGAAAAACAAATGTTATGCAAGCCAGTGCAATGAGATAAAATATGAGATCACGAATAGTTGAAAATACATCAATCTTGAACGGCTTGACGAGAATAATTGTGGCTGTGACCATAGAAGTAACAAATATGCCAGCTCCTAGAAAACTGGAGCCTTATACCTAAGGCGAAAAAATAATTTCTTGAGCTATTCGCCTCGAGATGGATACAAGTTCATTCGGTGCCGAACAATTTTACTCTGTGTATATAGATCTTAGCTACATACCGTTTTATATTATAACACATTTTGATTCTTGAAGTAAAGTAAGTTTTACATCGTTGTTGTATTTAAGTTCAATAAGGAGAAAATGTACTGAGTAAAGTTTCCAAAAAACCAATTTTGGATACTACTGCCTGCAACATCTACTTTCATTCGGTGCTACTTACCCAGGAGTTCTCCCAAAGCAAATCCGGCTTTGGGTTTTGGACTGCTGAGAACGGATGCGATGGAACCGAATATATCTGGAGCCCCATTGCCAAACGCCATGAATGTCACACCCTTCAAAGATTTTTGACAGTTAAAAGAGAAACATTTCGGGTGCCACTTACTGCTATGCTTTCACTAATTTTCAGATGTGCAACAATTGACGCAACATTCGGTGAAAAGAAATCGTCGGCAGTAGTTGATACCATAATAAACAGCATAAGCATCCACACAATTCCCGCTATCATCACTGTAACCTGCAAAACTGTTGGATCAAAATGTTTATTTCTTAACGCTTTTATTCAATCTATACATATATAAACGTCTATGCAACGTACATACATATATAATATTAATTGTTAGTCGATGTGTTCTTCATAGAAACTTTTGCGTGTGAACCGATCAGCGCGAAACCTTACACACATATATTTTCGACACCGGCCCATCCTAGGCTACTTTTCGTTGCAAAATCCAGGTTTCCTCTATTGCTTCATCGATTTTTGAGAAAAATGAACTTTTGTCATTTACTATCAAACCACTTCCAACTTCCGCGTAAACAATAGTGTTAGAACTCATTTT